TAAAAAGGTCACACGACATACTATCACCTTGTCTGAATCCTCGCTTGGTATTAAAGGGCACCGAGAGGTCCTTTCCGAATTTAACTGCTGATATTGTGCCACTTAAAGTTATCCTGCATAGCCGTATTAATTTTGTTGGAATGCCGAACGTGGACATGGCTTTAAACACCTCTGAACGGATAGGGCTGTCGAATGCGGTTTTATAGTCGATTAACAGGTGGAATGTGTCGGTGTGTTTTTCGTGGGTTTTTTCCAGGATTTGGCGCAGAGTGAAAATCTGGTCAATGGTGGATTTGCCAGGTCTGAAGCCGCATTGGTATGGTCCAATAATGTCATTGACCATTGGCTTCAATCGTTCACACAGCAAACAGGATTGTACTTTATATGCGATGGGAAGGATACTTATTCCTCTATAGTTGGCACATATCGTCTTGTTTCCTTTTTTTGTACGGGACACAGGATGCTGAGGTTCCAATCATTGGGCATGCATTCCTCTAGCCAAATTGTACTAATCAGCTGGTGCATGCTCCTTACCAGCATCTGACCAGCAGTCTTGAATAGTTCGGCTTGTAACCCATCGCCTCCTGCTGCTTTATTATTCTTCAGGCTAGGTGGTACACACTCCATACCATCATCTCTTATTGGTTCTGGGGTATCTTCTTCACCGCCACTATTTGATACCAGAATCTTTTCAAAATGCTCCTTCCAAATACTCAACACGCTGTCTGTATCTGTCACCAGGTTTCCTTTTTCATCTCTACTGGAGGATGTGCCTACACCAAAGCCTTCGGTTTGGTGTTTTACTCGTTGGTAAAATTTCCGGACTTCGTTCTGACTCCTACATATTTCGTTTTTCTTGTTCTTTCTTCTGAAAATACGTTTCTCCTTTTCTCCCGATAATTCTCCATCGCACTACGTGTTGCTACGTTGCGTTTTTCAGATCAGTAGCATTACGACACTCCTGATCGTACCTCGCCTAACAAATATTCCTTATAAAATCGCCGCCTTTGGTAGAAAAAATATTTTTTTAAATTTACGCTTGAAAAATATTCTTTATGAAAACGTCGCCTTTGTTAGACCCTCTCAAAAATATTCTTTATAAAAACGTCGCCTTTTGTAGACTCTGAAAAAATATCCTTTCAAAAATCCACGCTTTTGGTAGACCCTGAAAAAATATTCTTTAAAAAATCCCCGCCTTTTGTAGATTCTGAAAAAATATCCTTTCAAAAATCCACTCTTTTGGTAGACCCTGAAAAAATATTCTTTAAGAAATCCACGCCTTTGGTAGACCCTTAAAAATATTCTTTTATAAAATCTACGCCTTTGGTAGACCCTGAAAAAGTTGTTTTTGAAATCCACGCTATTGGAAGACCTTACAAAATAATTTTAAAAATAATTTAAGAGATCAATGCATAGATCAGTCCTCAAAAAAATTATTTTAAAATATACACGCCTTGTATTGGTCCTTAAAAATTATATTTAAAAATGTACGCCTTTGATATTCTTTGAGAATTTTTCTTTAAATCCACGCCTTTAATAATCCTCGAAAAATTTATGTTTTTATCTCTAGACCACAGTGTCGTATGATTATTATTAATATGGACACGGTGTCGTATATGAACGTCAGTACTTATACGCCACAGAGGATTCACATGATTAGAAATGCCACAACGTGAAGAGTCTTTGATTTTATTTTACTTTCACTTTTGGGTAGTCCTTAAAAATATAGTTTGAATTGTTCCGAACCTGTGCTCAGTTTCTAGACGTATATTTAAATAGCAGTTCCTTATTTTTTATGGTGTAATAACTTTTACCAGACGACGCTAGAAATCTCATTATCATTTCTTTCCTCTATCTCTATTATTATTTTTTCTTTGGTTACAAAAAATATGTTAACACAAATTTATATTTGTAATAACTTAAAAACAACTATTTCTTGTTTTTCTTTCGTTTGTTTGTATTCTTCTACTTAAAAAAAAAAAAAAACAAAAAAATTAAAAAAAAAACTGTAAAAAATACTCTTACGCCTTGCTAAACCTGTGCCATAAAACAAATCGTTATAATATTTACATATAAATGACTATTATAAAAACAACGACGATATACCAACAACTATACAATAAAATATTGTAAAAAAACTGACTGGATATACAACACCTCTACTCTACACAAAAAAAATGTGACACATATATACACAACTATACCAACACCATCTCAACACTCCACATCAATTTATCACAAACTCGAAATCGAAAACTCGAAATCAAAACACGAAACGAACAAACTGCCACCTACGACAGCGGATTCTGATCGTGCCAATAATAATTCCCTAATTGCTCACATACAAAATTTACCCGGTTTTGATGCTTCCAAAGCTCGCATTGTCCAACACTATGCCACACCGTCATCATCGTCAGCGGCACGTGAGCCATCACACAGTCCCAGTGAGAGTCCAGAAAAATTACTTTCACCAGATCCGCCGATTGGTCCAACAGCGGCCGAATTAATATTACCCTGGCGCAGGGATCGTTCCTATCAGAGCATTGGTAATTGATGATGCCCGCTGGCAAAATAAAAATTCTCCTCATCCCCACGATTGAAATGAAAAAATGTATCGCTGCTCTCCTATCTCTCATTAATATTACTCTCTTGAATATTTGTTTTGCGTAGACGACCATGAGTTCATTGATACATTTAACGAAAAAAAAGAAATCATTTTTTATATATTAAAAATTAATATTTAATTTTTAATAACTAAATATTTTAATTGGCAATTTTTTTTAAAGTAATGTTTCTTCTTGATTTTTTAAAGATCAATTTTTTATAACTTTATTTGTAGAGATGTTTGTTCTATGAGTTTTTTTATAACGCACTGGTTTCAATTACAAACAAATTTCTGCTTTCCATGTATATATTTTTCATTTCAATTTAAATATATTCATTTTTTTAATATTGGTTGGCATTTCAAAAACAATAACAAAATATTTTTAAATAGTTAAGTTTACCTATTTCAAATAGTTCTCGAAAACTATTTTTCCTCTTTGGACCACAGTGTCGTATGATTATTATTGGACAAGGTGTCGTATACGAACTACAGAACTTATACGCCACCGAGAATTAACATGATTAGAATAATATTTTTTAAAAAAACGAAATATTTCCAATTTATCAAAAAAAAAAAAAAAAAAATCAATGTCTTGTAGAGGTCTACAAACAAATATTTTTTAAAAATTCACGCCTTGTATAGTTCCGAAAAAAATATTTTTTAAAAATTTAAAAAGAAATTCGCCTTCTATTGGTCCTTGAGATAGTCCCTGAAAAATATTTTTTTTAATAAATCCACGCCTTGTCTTGGTCCTTGAGATAGTCCTTAAAAAATATATTTTTTTAAATAAATCCACGCCTTGTATTGGTCCTTGAGATAGTCCTTAAAAAATATTTTTTTTATTTTTTAAATAAATCCACGCCTTGTATTGGTCCTTGAGATAGTCCCCTAAAAATATATTTTGGTCCCAAAAAATATTTTTTTTAATAAAACACGCCTTGTATTGGTACCGAAAAATATATTTTTTTTAATAAAACACGCCTTGTATTGGTACCGAAAAATATATTTTTTTTAATAAAACACGCCTTGTATTGGTACCGAAAAATATATTTTTTTTTTAATAAAACACGCCTTGTATTGGTACCGAAAAATATATTTTTTTTAATAAATCCACGCCTTGTATTGGTCCTTGAGATAGTCCCCTAAAAATATATTTTGGTCCCAAAAAATATTTTTTTAATAAAACACGCCTTGTATTGGTCCCGAAAAATATATTTTTTTAATAAATCCACGCCTTGTATTGGTCCTTGAGATAGTCCTTAATAAATCCACGCCTTATATTGGCCCTTGAGATAGTCCTTATAAAATATTTTTTTTTAATAAATCCACGCCTTGTATTGGTCCCAAAAAATATTTTTTTTAATAAATCCACGCCTTGTATTGGTCCCAAAAAATATTTTTTTAATAAAACACGCCTTGTATTGGTCCCGAAAAATATATTTTTTTAATAAATCCACGCCTTGTATTGGTCCTTGAGATAGTCCTTAATAAATCCACGCCTTATATTGGCCCTTGAGATAGTCCTTATAAAATATTTTTTTTTAATAAATCCACGCCTTGTATTGGTCCCAAAAAATATTTTTTTTAATAAATCCACGCCTTGTATTGGTCCCAAAAAATATTTTTTTAATAAAACACGCCTTGTATTGGTCCCGAAAAATATATTTTTTTAATAAATCCACGCCTTGTATTGGTCCTTGAGATAGTCCTTAATAAATCCACGCCTTATATTGGCCCTTGAGATAGTCCTTATAAAATATTTTTTTTTAATAAATCCACGCCTTGTATTGGTCCCAAAAAATATTTTTTTTAATAAATCCACGCCTTGTATTGGTCCCAAAAAATATTTTTTAAATAAATCCACGCCTTGTTTTGGTCCCGAAAAATATTTTTTTTAATAAATCCACGCCTTGTATTGGTCCCGAAAAAATATTTTTTTTAATAAATCCACGCCTTGTATTGGTCCCGAAAAAATATTTTTTTTAATAAATCCACGCCTTGTATTGGTCCCGAAAAAATATTTTTTTTTAATAAATCCACGCCTTGTATTGGTCCCTGAAAAAATGTTTTAAAAAATCCACTACTTGTATTGGTCCCGAAAAAATATTCACGCCTTGTATTGGTCCCTGAAAAAATGTTTTAAAAAATCCACTACTTGTATTGGTCCCGAAAAAATATTCACGCCTTGTATTGGTCCCTGAAAAAATGTTTTAAAAAATCCACTACTTGTATTGGTCCCGAAAAAATATTTTTTTAATAAATCCACGTCTTGTAGTGGTCCCCGAAAAGAGTTTTTTAATAAATCCACGCCTTGTATTGGTCCCGAAAAAATATTTTTTTTAATAAATCCACGCCTTGTATTGGTCCCGAAAAAATATTTTTTTTAATAAATCCACGCCTTGTATTGGTCCCTGAAAAAATGTTTTAAAAAATCCACTACTTGTATTGGTCCCGAAAAAATATTCACGCCTTGTATTGGTCCCTGAAAAAATGTTTTAAAAAATCCACTACTTGTATTGGTCCCGAAAAAATATTTTTTTAATAAATCCACGTCTTGTAGTGGTCCCCGAAAAGAGTTTTTTAATAAATCCACGCCTTGTATTGGTCCCGAAAAAATATTTTTTTTAATAAATCCACGCCTTGTATTGGTCCCGAAAAAATATTTTTTTTAATAAATCCACGCCTTGTATTGGTCCCTGAAAAAATGTTTTAAAAAATCCACTACTTGTATTGGTCCCGAAAAAATATTCACGCCTTGTATTGGTCCCTGAAAAAATGTTTTAAAAAATCCACTACTTGTATTGGTCCCGAAAAAATATTCACGCCTTGTATTGGTCCCTGAAAAAATGTTTTAAAAAATCCACTACTTGTATTGGTCCCGAAAAAATATTTTTTTAATAAATCCACGTCTTGTAGTGGTCCCCGAAAAGAGTTTTTTAATAAATCCACGCCTTGTATTGGTCCCGAAAAAATATTTTTTTTAATAAATCCACGCCTTGTATTGGTCCCGAAAAAATATTTTTTTTAATAAATCCACGCCTTGTATTGGTCCCTGAAAAAATGTTTTAAAAAATCCACTACTTGTATTGGTCCCGAAAAAATATTCACGCCTTGTATTGGTCCCTGAAAAAATGTTTTAAAAAATCCACTACTTGTATTGGTCCCGAAAAAATATTTTTTTAATAAATCCACGTCTTGTAGTGGTCCCCGAAAAGAGTTTTTTAATAAATCCACGCCTTGTATTGGTCCCGAAAAAATATTTTTTTTAATAAATCCACGCCTTGTATTGGTCCCGAAAAAATATTTTTTTTAATAAATCCACGCCTTGTATTGGTCCCTGAAAAAATGTTTTAAAAAATCCACTACTTGTATTGGTCCCGAAAAAATATTCACGCCTTGTATTGGTCCCTGAAAAAATGTTTTAAAAAATCCACTACTTGTATTGGTCCCGAAAAAATATTCACGCCTTGTATTGGTCCCTGAAAAAATGTTTTAAAAAATCCACTACTTGTATTGGTCCCGAAAAAATATTCACGCCTTGTATTGGTCCCTGAAAAAATGTTTTAAAAAATCCACTACTTGTATTGGTCCCGAAAAATATTCACGCCTTGTATTGGTCCCTGAAAAAATGTTTTAAAAAATCCACTACTTGTATTGGTCCCGAAAAAATATTTTTTTAATAAATCCACGTCTTGTAGTGGTCCCCGAAAAGAGTTTTTTAATAAATCCACGCCTTGTATTGGTCCCGAAAAAATATTTTTTTTAATAAATCCACGTCTTGTAGTGGTCCCCGAAAAGAGTTTTTTAATAAATCCACGCCTTGTATTGGTCCCGAAAAATATTTTTTTTAATAAATCCACGTCTTGTAGTGGTCCCCGAAAAGAGTTTTTTAATAAATCCACGCCTTGTATTGGTCCCTGAAAAATGTTTTAAAAAATCCACTACTTGTATTGGTCCTTGAATAAATTCACGCCTTTAGTATACCCTGAAAAACATATTTTAAAAAGTCCACGCCTTTTGTTGACCCTGAAAAACATATTTCAAAAATTCCACTCTTTTGGTAGACCCTGAAAACATATTTTAAAAAATCCACGACTTGGATTTTAAAATTCATTCCTTAGATAGTCCCCAATAAAATATTATTAAATCAAACGACGCCTTGTGTGGTCTTTGAAAAGAGATATTTCAAAAAATCAACGCTTTTAATAGTCCTCGAAATAAAAAATTATTTAAAACCAGTGAGCGGAGCAGTATAGTCGGACGGACCCGACCATACGATACCCTACACAATTACCACGGAACTCTAACTTTCTGCGGATGTTTATTCCGAGCCTGGGCAATATTTCGTTCCCCTAGCCTGATTAGAGGTCAACAGCACCTCTTCCTTATACTGACATATTTTCCGAATATTACTATTTATATTCAGTATAGCTTTTCTAATTATTTGTCCATATTTCCTTCAGGTGGGTTGTGTTGTGATGTTCGGCCTATTGGCATCGACTCGAAAAAACACAAAAAGTATTCGGTCCACTTTATCCCAATCTTATTATCTGATCATCACCGAAAATTATAGGCCTTGTCCTTGTCCATACCTGAATCCTCATGGAAAATTTCAAAGCGATCAGCTCTATATTTTCGCCCTCTTGTGTGGTAATGGGTTACTAAACAATATCTGAATACGTAAGCACCTGTAAATATTTAAGTGTAACTCCCACATCCGAGTACATACGAAAATAAAATTGTTATCAATTTAAAGGTCAGATCCTATCAACTTCTTGGGTCTATATCCTTCAGGGGAAAATATATACGCCATTGAATACGAATTTTGTCATTTTTCACACAAAAGTCGGGGTTCATTTGATCCGCTAAATATTGACAGATCTTTATCAAAACAGGCATGCTTATTATTCTTCGGCCCGATCCCCTTCCCCATGTAAAATTTCGTGATGATCGGACCATAATTGCGGCCTCAAGAGCGACCAGAAAAACAGACTAAAATAATGTTTTTGGTCCATTTATCTCCTAAATATCAATCGATCCTTACCAAAAATTTAGGGGTCTTCATTGGCCAGAACCCATTCTACATGCAAAATTTCGTGAAGATTTGTCCATAACTGTCGCCTGTATCGTTTTTACAAATTATAATGGAAAAGCGGACGGATGGGCGGACACACATGTCTAGATCGACTCAGCTAGTCGAGATATGACGATCGGTATACTTAAAGGTGGGTCTAGGACCAATATAACGCGGCGTTACAAACTCTTGGGGCTGCACAAAGCTATAATACCCTGACAACATAGTTGTGTAGGGTATAAAAATCCACGCCTTTGGTAGAACCTGAAAAACCTCCCGAAAAAATATTTTTAAAAAACCCACGTCTTAGACAATATGTTTAAATACTCTGTGGCTTCAGTTGCCGTACTAAAATTTGGTTTTTATTTGTAGACCACTGTGTCGTATGATTACTATTAATATGGACAAGGTGTCGTATACTAACCTACAATACTTATACGCCATAGAGGATTCTCATATTTGGAATTGCCAACCGATTATTTATTTTGTTTTAATTTTAATGTTGTTTTTGCTTTATAAATTTTAAATACTTAATGTATATATTGTAAAAAATATATATAAGAAAATATTATGTATAAAATGAAACGGATATCCAACGAAAAAACTCCATAGAATGCCCTATATGATGAAGAGCCGAAGAAAATTGCCAAATAAATATAAAACCTCATTTTTAATAATTATTGTGTTAGAAAATATAAAATCAAATATATATAAATCATTTGTTTGATAGTTGCCAGCCAGATATGCGTCAATATCTTTAGATACTAGTTAATGATCTCATCCATCCCCGCTCCACTCTTCAGCAGCCTCATCTGTAGTAGACAGTGCTTATGATGCTTTGAAAAGCAAGATAAAAAATAATTTTGAATATAATGTTCGATATTTTTACTTTTAGTTTCATTGTATATCACAATATGTGTCATTATTTTTTATAAGACGTCATATTATTATTTTTTTAATTTTTATTTATTTTTTATATCGATGAGATTCCAATGAAAAAAGCATGGCATTTTTGTGCATGATTTTTGTTAATATTTTTTTTATTATTTATTTTTATTTTTGTTTGTGTTATTTTGTACGTTTTTTTTTCTGTGCACAAAAAAATGTTTTGTGTTTCCAAATGTTTTTTAAAAAGAAAAAAAAATTGTTTTTGAGATTATTTCATTGTGTAGAGGAATATAATTATGTAAATAATTGCATATATATAAATAACAAATGTAGACATTTTTACAATTTTCAAAAAACCTCTATCTCTCTCTTGTACAAAAAAATATTCTTTAAAAAATCCACGCCTTGATAAGGCCTTGAAAAAATATTCTTTAAAAAATCCACGCCTTGATAAGGCCTTGAAAAAATATTCTTTAAAAAATCCACGCCTTGATAAGGCCTTAAAAAATATTCTTTAAAAAATCCACGCCTTGATAAGGACTTAAAAAATGTTTTTTAAAAAATCCACGCCTTGGTAAGGACTTAAAAAATATTTTTTAAAAAATCCACGCCTTGATAAGGACTTAAAAAATATTTATTTAAAAAATCCACGCATTGATAAGGGCTTAAAAAATATTTTTTTGAAAAATCCACGCCTTGATAAGGACTTAAACATTTTTTTAAAAATCCACGCCTTGATAAGGACTTAAAAAATATTTTTTAAAATATCCTCGCCTTGATAAGGACTTCAAAAATATTTTTTAAAAAATCCACGCCTTGATAAGGACTTAAAAAATATTTTTTTTAAAAATCCACGCCTTGATAAAGATTTAAAAAATATTTTTTAATAAAATCCACGCCATGATAAGGACTTAAAAATTTTTTTTTAAAAAATCCACACCTTGATAAGGATTTAAAAAATATTTTTTAAAAAATCCACGCCTTGAAAAGGACTTAAAAAATATTTTTTAAAAATCCACTCCCGAATAAGGATTTAAAAAAATATTTTTTTTAAAAATCCACGCCTTGATAAAGTCTTCGGAGAAAATATTCTTTAAAAAATCCAAGCCTTGATAAAGATTTAAAAAATATATATTTTTTTTATATCCACGCCTTAATAAAGTTTTAAAAAATATTTTTTTTAAAAAATCCACGCCTTGATAAAGATTTAAAAATATTTTTTTTTTAAAATCCACGCCTTCATAAGGAGTTCAAAATAGGAAACTATAGGAAACTCATATATATTTAAAAATCTAGTTTTTTTTTTTTTGGAAGATCATAAAAAGTATTTTCTAAAAATTCCAACCCCATTGGTAGGCCATCAAAATTATTTTTTGATAATGAACACCTATCGCTAGACTTCAAAAAATATTTCTTAATAATAAAAATCCAAGCCTTGGTTATATTTAATGTTATTAATATTTAAATATTTAATATCATCTACACACTGAAATAATCTCAAGAAAAAACTCTTAACACAAAAAAACTCTGCATTGTGCCGTGAACACAACAATAACCCACACCCCCCTTCTTTCCATATGTTCCTGCATGTCGTACCATCCATCCCATGAACTTTGTATACCTTTTACTAATCGTTTTGTTTTGGTTTGTTTGTTCGAAAAAAATACTCTTCACTTTTCGTTCCATAGACACAAAACTTTTTTTTTAATTTTAATTTTTTTTAAGTTTTCAAAAAACTCAACAACAAGAAAAAATGTTATGTTTATGTTTAGCTTTTGTGTTGTTTGCATAAATGCTTTTTGCCAAAAAAAAAAAAAAAAAAAAAAAAAACTCAATTAAATTTGAAACCCAAAAAAAAAAATATTCACAAAGAAAATAATACTAATTTCAAATTTTCCATTCTCTTCCCACCCAAAAAAGTAGCAGAGAATGCCATACCCGAAGAAGATCGCAATCTATCACGCGATTCAGATGGCGAACGCCGTGTGGCCACACCCACCGCCACTGAATCCCAGCTGCCATGGAAACGTCAGGGTGACGAAATTTCCGATGCCGTACAACAAAATGAATTCCCCGCCTGGGCATCCAATAAAGAATATTTGGCCTATAATTCACCAAGTGCTACATTCTTAGGTAAAGTATAAATGCGATTTTTGTTTATATAGCGTTCATAACTATATAGTATATTATTACATATATACCAAGTTATTTGTATGCACCTTAGTTTTAGAGAATGTTTTTTTACGTTTACAAATTTTCAAAACAGCATTGCAGAGCAAAAACGACAACATCTTCTTCACTGTAGTTAGTATATCGATAAACAAAATTTCCATTTGAACAAATTTTCAAAATCATTGACTTTTGCATATCTTTTTTTTGAGATTGTTTTAGGATTAATACAGGATTGAATAAGTATTTTGTGAAATTAAAAAATTATATATTAAAAAATCACGCTTATATGTAGTCTACAAAAATCCACGCCCATACCTCGATTATTATAGCATGACATAAGAAAATATTAGATTCAGTGTTGCATTTGTTTGAAAATATTTTTGAAATATTCCACTTCCATCCTCAAGATAATTTTTGGTCTACAAAAAATATTAAAAAAAACTGGGTCAATAAGCAGATTTTTAACGAATTCTTATCTATTACTGGGCCTTTGGAAATTTGTTATACAATCTATGCGTCCAAAAATATATTTCTTTTATTATTCAGAAAAGCTATTCATAAATCTTCAAAAAATTATTTTTAAACCAGTGAGCGGAGCAGTATAGTCGGACGGGCCGACCATATGATACCCTACACCACTACCACGAAAATCAAACTTTCTGCGGTTCTATATTCTGAGCCTGGGCAATATTTCGAGATATTTGCACCATTTTTACCGATTATACATCAACAACTTCCCTTTCTAACCCTGGCATATTTTCCAATTTTTTTCCTTGAAGTGAATTTTTACGCCGTAAAATAAAAAAAATGGTCACTTTAGGTTTTGGTTGACCCTCGGAATATTGACCGGTCATCATCTAAACAGCCGCACTAAGTATTTGGTCAGATCCCCTTCACCTTGTAAAATATGTGATGTTCTGCATATAATAATTGCCTCTAGAGCGACTAGAAAATCTGATAAAATTAAAGTTTTCGGTTCATTGCACCCTCTGAATGAAATCTCAACTTCACCGAAAACTATAGGCGTCGTCCTTGACCATAATCGAAAGTTCATGTACAAATTCAAAGCTATCAGCGCGACATTTCCGTCCTCTAATGGAGTAATGGTAATACTATGCACATAGCCACCTTTACCTAATTATGTATAACTCCCACATCAGAGTACATGCAGCCATAAGGCCAACCTCTCCTCTTGGATATACCATCAACTTCTCGGTTCTATGTCCTGCAGGAGTAAATATATACGCTATAGAATACAAATTTAGTCATTTTTCACATAAAAGTCAGGGTCCATTTGACCCGCTAAATATTGGCCGATCTTTATCAAAACTGGCATGCTTATTATTTGGCCCGATCCCCTTCTTCATGTAAAATTTTGCGATATTTGGGCATAATTGCGATCTTTGGAGCGACCAGAAAACCAACAAAAATTAAATATTTGGTCCATTTCATCCCATAAATATTAACCGGTCTTTACCAAAAACAATAGGTGTCTTCATTGGACAGAACCCATCCTACATGTGCAATGTCGTGAAGATTGGTACATAACTGTGGCCTGTATCGTGTTTACAAATTATAAAGGACAGACGGACGGACCTATCTACTCACCCGGTCGAGATATGACGATCGCGGCGTTATAAACTCTTGGGGCTACCAACATAGTTGTGTAGGGTATAAAAACTGGCCATACTTGGCCTTCAAAAAGATTTTTTTTGAGTCGAGCTTATAGCTGAATTTCAAAAATATTTTATTTTAATCCAAGTCAATTTCGCCACATTAACAAATATTTTTAAAAAAAAATTCAAGCCTGCGATCTTCAAAAATATTTCAATCATTCTTTCAAAAAGTATATTAAAAGAAATTTGAAAATGTAATAGGTTTGTAATGTAATAGTTTTAAATCCATACCTTTAAAAATTCCACAAAACACTTATGATTGTTTTTCATATAATCAGTATTCATTTTGTAGCCAATTAGATGCAATTCGACATTCCCACGAAAACAAATTAAAGATTAGAAAAAAATAAAACTTACAACTTCAATTCACTCAACATAAAGTTTCATAAAACAAAATAAGCCGCCATTCATTTTGTTTAGATTCTGAAAGCGTGAATGCAAGAGAGTGCATGTAAGCTACCCCCTTTGTTTCGTTTTCAAAATAGTCAATGAGAAAGTCACACGACAAAAAATTTTTTTGGTCTTCCTATATAAATGTTGACCTATTTTTATATATATTGAAAAATATAGAATTTTTTCATATATCGAGATTATTAGTAAATAACATTTGTTTTTCTGTATTAAATGTTGTTTAAATGTTAAAATATAAAAATAAATTTTTACAGTATTATATATAAAAGCAGTATTATATAACAATACAGTATTAAATACTTTTTTACTTAAATAAAAATATACTTTTATATAAACAATTTATATTTATAGAATAGAATGTACATAAATTTTATAATTTGTAATATTGTGAAATATATAGTTTATTGTTTGTGTATTTTTTATAATATATACCATAAAGAAATTGTAATATTTTAATTAAAAACATTAATAACTGGAAACTAACGTATTTACATAACATAATTGGAAACAAATTATTTTGTTTTATTTTCTTTTTTATCAACTATATTTTAAAATATAAAATAAATAATATATAAATAAAAATTGTTACTAACCAAAAAAAAACTAATTTGAAATAAATACTAACAAAATAAAATATTTGTTTTAAATTTAATATAAGTACACTCATGTGACGTATACATAAATCCATACGAATCAAGACCCAATTATATTTTGTATCCATTCACGTTGAGAACTGTGTGATGTACACGATGAAAATCTCTCCATGCTGTTCCAGTTTTGTTATTATGGGTGTGGGTTACTTACATAGGTTACTTCGTTACCTATGTACACTATCGATATAACAATTTCAACCTTTCTTTGGAAATTATGACACTTGATTGAACATCTGGAGTAACAAATTCGACGTTGAAGTCGTGACTAGCTGATTTATTTTTTGCTTGAAACATCTACATCAATTTTTCTCTTCCGGTCCCTCATTGGTGTATTTTATTGAAGTCTTTCCCCCAAAAAATGTATCATCCCTGGTTTGGTGATAAGCTAACATGTTTTTCGATTAATTATTATAGTTCTTCGGAATATCAATAATATAGTCGCAACCACATTATTAGATTGGAATGTCCGATTTTGACCAAATAGACACCGTTTTGTTGTATGATTTGTTGCCATTTTAAATATAACTTCATAATGCCTCTCTTATAGAAGTCTTGCTATCTATTTGCAAAACTCTAGTAGTGGATATTCACAATCCTCCCAAGATACCAATTTTTTTATAATTAAAGAAGTTTTCCAATGCAAGAAAAATATGATAATCGATTGGTGCCAAGTCCGGACTGTATGTCGGATACATTAAAACTTCCCAAACAAGCTCCCGAAGTTTCTGGCGAGTTAATGTAGATGTGTGTGAACTAGCGTTTTCCTGGTGGAACTTCTTCGGTGGGACACCTCTCCTATTGGCCAATTTTGGCCGTTTCTGGTCAATTGCTATCTTCAAACGGTCCAGTTGTTGACAGTAGAGTTAAGAATTTAGCGTTTGACGATATGGAAGCAACTTATAATAAATAATCTCCTTCCAGTCCCACCAAATGCATAGCAGAACCTTCCTGACCGTTAGTCCTGGTTTGGCCGTTGTTTAAGTTGAATCGTCGCTCTTTGAACACGATCGTTTTTGCAATGGGTTATAGTATGTGAACCATTTCTCATGTCAAGTCACTATCCGTTTAAGAAATGGTTCTATCTCATTCCGTTTGGCCAAGGCTTCGCAGATAGAAATTCGATCCATCCTTTTTTTCCTTTAATTGGTGTGGCACCCTAACATCGAGTTTCTTTTTGAATCCAGCTTTGTGTAAATGGTTCAAACCGTTTTATGGTCGATGTTTAGCTCCTAGGCAATGTTACGGCTGCTAAAATACCGGTCAACTTCGATCATTTCTCCAATTTTATCGATATTTCCAACGACCGGCCTAATAAATTTATTTTACCCCAACATAATATCGACTATGGAACTTTAAATGTTTATTATGGTATTATAGAAAAAATGAATTTTATTAAAAATTAGCAAAAAAGATCCTCTCTTCGAACCACATTTGAGATAGTTACCTGTTTTTAAAAAAGAAAAATAATAAAAGTCGGCTATTGTTCAGCATAGGATTTTAATTCATTTGTCCATTCATATATCTAGGTTCATTCCCGCATTAATCAGAACTTGGATACTATTATAATTTACTTTCTAGTCCCTAGGAAATCACCTATAAATTGTGATACGAAGCATGTTTAAACAATATTTTAGAGTTATTTTATTAACTTATAAGTGTTTATTATAAAAAATAAAATATTGTCCCCTTTGAAGTATTAGTATTATTAATTTCAAAAACCACCATGGCGTATGCGTGATATCAACGAAATTGAATGGTTTTGTATTATGTATACGACACATCTGTATTTATATTTAATTTATGTAAAACTATAAACTGCACAATAGTTAAAAAATAGTAATGACATTAAATAAAAAATAATAAACACACAATTAAATAAATAAAATATAAATAAATAAATAATATCTCAATAATATTTTTACAACTAAAAAAATTAAAACATTTTAAAAATAAAAATATATATTTGAAAAAGTATAATAACTTAAGTGGACCCCCCCCCCCCCCTCTCGGTTTCAAAAAATTTAATTTTGTATTTTGATTTAATTTGATTCTACACTAGTTCAATAATGCCCCTATGAAATGTCATGTGAAAATCTTGTGCTAGCATCAAGTGACGACAATAAGGCTTCTCATTTTTCTCCAAATAGCGTTTTTGCGAATGGCGGACACGATAACTCAAAAAATAATCCGATCGATTCCAAATTTTGGGACGTTTCTTGGGACGTATGAACTAGGATCGGTCAATATCTTCCTTATTTTTTAAACTAGGTTTGTGGTAAAAAAATAGCTGATTTTTTCAAAGGTCCGCCATTTTGTTGATTTTTGAGCGAAGCCAATAATCCTAGTTCATACGAGAGCCAGACTTGTACCCTTTCTAACACCGTTGGATTCCCTTAATGAAAAATAATCAATTAAAAAAATAAATTTTAATGAATAAATATGTTCCCGGATTGAACATTTAAATCATAAGATTCAAATGTACTTATTTTACAAAGTCTGGTTCATTGGTTCATTTGACCCGCTAAATATTGACCGATCATTATAAAAACCAGACCAGAGCCCCTTCCCCGTATACAAATTTTAATGTTCGACTTATAATTATGGCCTCTAGACAGACTAGAAACCCTGACAAAAATAAAAAAATCTACCCATTTCACCCCCCTATATATCACCTTGACCACAATTGAAACTTCTTGAAAAATTCCGTAGCGATCAGCGCCATATTTCCGCCCTCCAAGTGTGGTGATGGGTTACTAAATAATATAAGAATACGTAGACGACTGTAAATATTTACGTATAACTCCCATATCCGAGTAGTTACATCACTATCAATTTAAAGGTCAACAACTCCTCTTGTATATACTATCAACTTATCCGTTCTATGTCTTTCAGGAGTAAATATATACGCCATAGAATGCAAATATTGTAATTTTCACGCTAAAGTCTGGGTCCATTTGATCCGCTAAATATTGACCGATTATTATAAAGATAACCATATTTAATATTTGGCCAGATCCCATTTCCCATGAATAATTTCCAGAAAAACCGATAAAAATAAAGTTTTTGGTTCATTTTATCCCCTAAATATTAACGGATTATTATCAAAGGATCATAGGGGTTTTCTATGACCAGAACCCGTCCTACATGCAAAAATTAGGGACGATTGGTCAATAACTGTAGCCAAAATGAGAACCCGAGCTCTATCATGATTTCAACTGACTGATAGACGGATAAATCGATACAGAATCTTATTCTGATCACGAATATGGATGAATTTTTAATTAAAAAAATACAAAATAATAATAACATAAAATTGATAAATTTAAAAATAAATTGAATTATAAAAAAATTAAAATTGTTATACTCGTATTAAAAAAAAATATTTGAAGTTAGTTAATTGCGATATAATAAAAAATCTTGAAAATAAAAAAAAATAAATTTAAAATGCAATAATTTAGAAATGAATTAGAATATTAACAAAATGATTATATCTTTACTAACAATTTTTGATGTAATAAAAAGTATTTTTTATTTACATATAAAGAAAGAATTAATGTTTTTAATTAAAATATTACAATCCCAATATATATGTATGAAATAATTACCTTTGTAATGTATGAATTTATTTTTTTTAATTGTAAAACGAATTTATTTTTTCTACTCCGTTTGTTTTTTTTTTTTCTACTTGCGCGTGTTTCTACAATATACCAATACATATACAATTTATTTACATACTTTCTTCAATTTAATTTTTGTTATCAAACAATTTTTTTAAATTTCCACTTTTTTCTCTCTTCCTTTTCTACTTTTTTCTCTTATTGCGCCTGTCCCTCTGAACTGTCTTTATGAATTAAATGAAACGAAACAAAAATCAAACGAAACACTATTTTGGAAACGTACACAAAAAATAACAACAACAAACACTTAAATAAAAAAATTCTAAATGCTATGATATGATGTGAATGTTACTGTTTTCCTCTAAAAAAATTACGAAATCGAAATAACAACAATCAAAAAATCAAATCATTCATCAACCACGGCCTTGTCACCGCTATTGTTGTTTTGTTTTTCTTTCTACTTGACTTTGAAATGTGCCCTAAAACACAAAACAAAAAATCTGAAACAACATCATAACATGTGCACGCTGTGATCGAACAAAAACCAAATCTGAAAAAAAAATCTACATTCAAAATTCGTATATTTGAAAACACACCCATGGCCCCTTGCACCTTTAAACACACTCACTCACACACCCACACCACAATAAAACCCCTCTCAGGTGGTATAAACAAACCTAAACAGCCCAAGTCCGTCATAGGTCTATTCCGTCGTGAAAGTTCCGGTTCCCGTGGTGGCGCTGGTGGCAGTATTATGACCGTCGATGGCACTGATGGCTCATCGGCTAGGGGTTCCGACCCGGCCTTGGCTGCCGCACTCAGCCAAATGGTTGTGCCTTCTTCACAAATACCCTACAATCCACGTTTGGACAAACGTTCGCAGTCGATATCATCCGGTTCGGGTTCGGCGGGCATTGGTGATTCGGGTCATGCGGGTCCCTTCCCCGTTACGGCCAGTCATCGTCGTAATGTACGACGTGGTTCAATGCTAGAATTAAGCGGGTAAGTTATGAATTTTTGTTAACAAAAAGTTGTCTACTTTTTTTCTGTTTCATTTCTTTTTCGATTATTATTTTTTATTTATAAATAATTTTGCCAGTTTTTTCATATATGAAAAAATATATATTTATGTTTTTTTATTTTTGTTTTTATATAAATATTTTTATATATTATTACTAATAATTACTTTATATGCATGGTTTGGTTTGTCAAGCATTAAACACTATTTTTCTTGTTTGAAAAAAATTCTATTTTTTACTTGGGCTTTAAAATAATTAAAAAAAAGATTTAATTAACCCCTATATAAACAAATTAACCCCTTGTAGCTTCTAATATTACCTTTCGATGTACAAATTCTCATACATACATCTGTAACATATTTTACTCATAATAATACTTGCTAACAATAACCCTCCCGAACACTAACAAATAACTTAGTTTAATTTTTGTTGTTTTATTTTCTTCTACTTGCTTTGGAGCTTTAATTTTGATTTTTTTTAATTTATTATATTACTAATATTATAAATAACCCCCTTTTTGAATAACTAACCAACAAGACTAAAAAATAACAATTACTAAAAATTAACGTAGCTTTTAAGCATTAACATTTATTTACCTATTCGAAATTTTCGTCGGAAGCAACGGATATTATTATTACCATTATTTTTAAGTTAATTAATTTAAGTCTGTATTTGTCCTACAAATTTTTGTGTATTTGTCTATTAAATACCAAAAAATGTCTTTTGTCTCATTAACATATATTTCACTCATCATACACTTGTCTTATGTTCCGAATTTTTGAGAATATTACCAATTTGATAGGGAAATAAATTTCATGGAGGGCTATAAGGAACCTTAGATTGAAAAAATCCTGAAAAATAGCAAAGAAATTATCCATACAATGTTTTAGGCCCTTAATGGCGTATAAGTTATATTAATAGTAGTACAAGATTGCGTATGATTTATCAATATTGATTTATTTAGTATACACAATCAATTAAAAAACAGTATTTAAATATTAGCGTTAGTTTTAGTTCATATACTTCTCAAGAAATCAATGTTTACAGATCTGATAGTCCCCTAAATATTCCCTAATATTATTCTTTCAGGAAAAATGAAATATGATTAAATCTTAATTAAAATATCATAATTTTCATATTACACCCTAAATCTTGTAGGAATAGAAAAAATTTCAAATGAAAAATAAGTGTGACGTATAAGTATTAAAAATAGGTAAATATGTATCAGTTTTATATATATTATTTTTCTCTGACATTTATTAAGTATACGCCAAAGATCACAGTTTCTCAAAAAAATATCTAAAATGGCTTGAGTGTAAGGAATTTTTAAAAAAAATAGACAAATTAAAATACAGAGACTCTGAGAGTGTTCGATATATTCTTAAAAAATATTAAAAATTCGTAAAATGATCTATTTCCGATCTGAATCATTATTGACAATATATTAAAAAATATTTGAAACATTTAAATATCCGTACAATAACAATAGAGATCTTTAGAAATGGTATTTAATAGTCTACTATAATTATTCTTAATTATATATTGATGTCGTAGTTTAAAGATATATTAAAATATATTGCAATAATGTTCATGCAGATTAGGAAAAGTCCTCAAAACGGTAAAAAAAATCGTTGTAAAAGTTTTAATATTGTTTTATGCTTTTGTGACGTATAAGTAATATTATTTGTCTTCCCATGTTGCGTATGGATTTTTCTCATAAATTTATTAAGTATACGCAAATTGATTTTAATATCAAAATCCAAGACTATTGCGGGGCTCAGTTTCTATTTTAAAAAAAGATAAGATGCTCAATTAACTAATGTTAGAGACTCTATAATAACATTATTTTACAAGTCAGATAGTCCTCTAAATATTCTTATGAAATAAATACCCGATTTTTGATCTGAGAGTTCTTTCAAAAACGCCAATAAACCTAATACCCATAGTACAAATATTCGTTGACTAAACATCCATACTTACATAGTAGCCATATATAACTCTGATAGTTCTCCATAAAACATACCTTAATTTATAATATCTAAAATGTGTCAAAAAATCTATGAAAACTCTTCATAAATCTGTTTAAAATGCATTGTCACGTATAAGTATTATAAATAGCCGTAACATGTTGCGTATTAGTTTCACATATAAGTTTTCTCTAAAATCAATTAAGTATACGCCAATAATTTTTTATTTCATATGTCAAGTTTGCAGTTTCTTTATATAAAAGACATTTATTGTTCTTAAAACTTATTCGAAATTTTAAAATGCTATATTTTAGCTTGGAAAGTTATTTGACATTTTCTTCAAACTATATTTGCAAAAATTATTTTATACCAAGAACATTAAAGCCTCCATAATTGTATATCGATTTTTGCATTTAGAATGCACTGAAAAAAGACATTATATATGTAGATATCGATAAAGCAAACTTAATTTCTGGTAGTCCTTTAAAAACTGGTACATAAAATTCCCTAATCTAGAACTGACAAAATTTTCCATATTCATTTTGGCCACTTATAAACGGATACAATTATTGTACGTTCATCGGGTAAACACTATTAGAGATTTCTCTGTAAAAAATAGAATCGGGAGAAACTCTGCCTGATTCTGAAAATATATACTAACCCGGAAAGGAAACTACCAGGGCAAAAACACACATATAATTTTTGACCACAAACTGGACCAGAACTTTTAAATAGATACATTTATGTCGACGATTCACAACCTACATGATGTATTGCTTTAAAAAAATGTAATATCCTGAACCTTGACTAGTCTTTTTATAGAATTTTTTTAAATTTTTTGACCTCACGCCTCTCCCTACATTAACTCGCATGCTTTCCCCTGCTTATTTGAGATCCCACTGCCTTCATTTCTATCGCCCTATTCACTTTCTTTAGATCGAGATGGTTTCTCAGCGGTCTACTTCAGATATATCTACGAGGTCGAAATAGGCAAAACAAAAATCAAATTATCCCTCATATACCCCTACCCTCATTCAGTTTCAATTTTTTTTGCAAGTCACCAGATCAAATAAATCTTAAAAAATTCTATTCAAGAACATGCAGATATTTTTTATGAAAACTATTTTTGTGACGTATAAGTATTGTAAAAAGTTGGACCATGTTACGTATTTTATTTTTCTCCGGAATGCATTAAGTATACGACAAAGATTGTTTAATGTCATGTTACAAAGTCTCTCAAGAAAATATTTAAAACGATATAATTTTAAGCAATAATAAGGTGCCTAATTAAAGTTCGGAGATTCTTTACGCGAATTTTGCATTTCATTAAATCTGTTGATATCGATAAAACAACATTAATTTCAATCTGGCAGGCCTATAAAAACTGGTACATAAAATTCTCGAAACTAGAACTGACAAAATTTCCCATATTCACTTTGAAAACTTATAAGCGGATACATGTACGTCCATCAGACAAATGCCATTAGAGATTTTTCTGTAAAAAATTGAATGGGGTGAAGTTCTGTCTGATTCTGACACTATATACTAACCCGGAAAGGAACCTACCAGGGGCAAAAAACACCCATATAAGCTGACACAAAATGAACCTGAACTTCTACTTCTAAATAGATAAATTTAAAAATGTCATAAACTGAATCTTGGCCCTAATCCTACATCCCTACAATGATCCTAACTCCAAACTTCATTGTTCCAGCTCTATCGCTTTACCCAAATCCAAATTGTACCAATTATAGTACGATTTAGTACTTTTTGTACACATAAGTAAAAATTTCCAAAACTATGTACATATCCCAATCCTACACTCCGACGGTAATGTTGATTTCAATTTTCAGGATCCCAGCTCGATTTGTACCTCCAAATCAAATTTGTACCAAATATAGTACCATATAGTACTTTTCGTACACATGAGTACACGCTTTCCAAACTCTCCTCATATCGACCCTACTTCTCAACGTTATTTTACATTCCAAATTTCAAGTTTTTAGCTCAATTCATTCGCATGCTACGAAATTTTACCAAATTTAGTACATTTTCGTACTTTTCGGATAGTTATAGTTCGAATTTCCAAAAACACTTTAGTACATCTATCCTACAGTCAATCAACGACCACCAACCCAAATTTCAGAGTTCTAGCTCCACCGGTTTGCCAAATACAAATGGTATCACATTTAGTACTTTTCGTACCATTCTAGTACGAATTTCCAAAAACCCAGCCTTATCTGTCACCTTTGGACCAAGAGTGACCATCACCCAAAATTTCAAGATTCTAGCTTCAGCCGTTTCGTCTGGGCGTTGATGAATCGTTAAATCAGTCAGTCAGTCAATCACTTTACTCTTTTATTAGTATAGATTTTGTCGTTATAATATTTTGAATCGTAATATTTGATAGTGTATCGATCCACTGAAATGGAACAAGGCATTCCTCAATCGCTATTTATTAATAGACCGCTGAAAATCTCATGAGAAAGTTTCACGAAATCCATAGTACATTTCTTGACCGATCGAAGAAACATGTTGTATTCAAAATTATATAAATAGTTTTCTCCTCTACCAAATTTTGCAAACAAGTTGAACATTTCATAACCCCAAAAAAGGATACAATTTTTGACCATAGAAATTATTATTTTATGAATTTTAATATATCCTTTTTATTTGCTTATCAAAAAGATAAGATCATATAAAGCACTTTTGTATCTTCCGTATACCGAAACTCCTCTTTGAATCTGCTATTAAATAATATCTTGCATACCTTGAACATCTTATACATTTTAGATGTCCTATGAGTCCGTAAAACTATATATCATATTTTCAAAAGAATACGTGGGCTTTTTATATATAATATCTTCCGTAAATGTCTGAAGAAAAACTGATCCGTTTATAATTTTGAATAAAGATTATATCTCCATAGTGAATAAAATTCGAGTTTATGGGTCCAAAGTATTTTCATCGTTGTGAATATGTTTAAAACTTCGCATGTTTTACAGATATTATATTA